GATATAGGGGGGTGTGTGTGTGTGTGTGTGTGTGTGTGTGTGTGTGTGTGTGTGTGTGTGTGTGTGTGTGTGTGTGTGTCTAGAGATGGCTTATTAGTTAAGAGCATTGGCTGTTCTGAGAACCTGGGTTAGGTTCCTGGCACTCCCATGGCAGCTCACAACTATCTGTAACTCCAGCTGTAGGGGATGCAACACCCTCTTTTGGCCTCCTCAGGTACCAGGCACTCATGTGGTGTGCAGACATACATTCAGACAAAAACGCTCATATCCATAGAATAACAAATGAATTTTAAAAATGTTTTTAAAAGAAAGCAATGTTGTACAGGCAGTTGGATGTGTGTAGGATGGGGATTTAGGAGGACATCAGGAAACAGCTAGTCTTTCTCTGCACACAGATTATGTTTAAGATTTTAGGGCTAGAAAATCTCCAAATAAGAATGTGTCAAGAGCTCAGTCCTAGGGACTAGAAAGGAAATTCAAAGCCAGTAGAGTGGCTGAGGTGTAGTCACTGTGTACTACACATTGTGCAGTGTCCTGGTGCACTATAGCCTGGCATGTACAAATCGTAGGTTTGCTTGCTAGCACAGAAGAAATAAAGCAAATAGAAAGGGTATGATTATCTTGAAACCCAGGGAAAAGAGGAAGAATGAATAAATTACATTGATAGGGACTGCAGAAAAATCAAGGAGAGACTAGATTTAGGCCCTGAGGAACGTGTGAAATTAATTGGGAAGGAAGCCATGTAAACAGTTAAAGTATGCTGTAGAGAAAGTATGCCATTGATTCTGCAGGGACAAGGTGAATGCTAAACTTAACTGTATTAATACACTGATGTTTTTTAAATATTGATTGTTTTTGTAGATAAGATGGAACAAAATTTGTCATCAAAAAATCTGAAACATGAACATTTTCAAAGTCTTAATTTTCCTCATACAAAAGAAATGATGAAGATCTTTCACAAGAAATTTGGCTTACATAATTTTAGAACTAATCAGCTAGAGGCAATCAATGCTGCGCTGCTTGGTGAAGATTGTTTTATCCTAATGCCCACTGGTATGTATTTTTAGATATGAATTGGCAGGAGTCCATTGGCAGATGTTAAATGAAAGCTCTTTAATAGAAATAAAAAGAACACCTCCCATTATTCTTACTTTAGGGACCCTTTAAACCCCCCAAACCACAGTAAGAAAGTCTGTCACCTCAGCCTCTGTTCTGTTGACATGATAAGATTCTAACTCCTTAAGGATGTGAACTCACAGCTCATTGGGGTGACCTGATGTAGAGCTTTTCTTTGGGAAATTTTATTTTTTTTTCTAATCTAAATGAGCCTAGAAGGGAACAGAAGACGGATATGAGAGACCATGACCATTTCTGGCTAATGTTTAGTGCTGCCTGGTAGTTCTGGTCATCCATTCTGGAGTAAAAGCCCAGGTTTCCAGAGAGGAGTGTACCATGGACAAGCCATGTCACTATTTGTGGGTATGTTGAGGACAGTATGCAGTATAGTGTTCACTTGACAGGTGAGGCTCAAATGAAAAGGGTAACACATGGTTCTTTTAGCCGCAGTCTTGAAGAGACCAGGACTGTGCGTTGTTATAAAAACCTCTAAGCGCTGCTCTGTGATTTTGAATTAAGTGGTTAGGCTAGGAAGCTGGTTCAGTGCCTCCATGTAGATCTTCTGTGTGTTGCTTGCCTTGTTACAGCCTTTAGCAAGTCCCAATTGTTGCAGTTATTATTGCATACTATTGACTTGACATCTGAATTCTTTCAGAATGGTTTAAATATTTTATTATCACATAGTTGTAGGTATGGTGGTGTGGTTGGGAGAGCTTTGTGCATGCCAAGGCATAAATAGGAAGGTCAGAGGACAATTTTTGAAGTCAGTTCTCTGCTTCCCCCTTTACATGCGTTCCATGGGTCAGTCACACTCTCATTGTCAGACTTCTTCAGTGAGCTTTCTCCAGGTCCTCAAACTAATTTTAAAGATGAGACAATGTTGGTTTATCCACATTCCAGACGTTATTAACTTAGTGACATTGCGCCTCCATTTCAACTCTGGTTTGGTTCTTGAAAGCTCTGAAACTGGAGAGGACTTTGGCAGTCATCTAATCAGAGGCTTTCAGTGGCTCTTCCCACCTTCAGGAGTTATTTTCAAGTCCTCCCTACCCTGGTTTCAATCTCCCTCTCTCCCTCTCTGAAACAGGGTTTCTCTGTGTAGCTTTTGGAGACTGTCCTGAAACTCACTCTGTAGCCCAGGCTGGCCTTGAACTTCAGAGATCCTCCTGTCTCTGCCTCCCGAATGCTAGGATTAAAGACTGGTTTCAATCTCTTGGCAGATAAAATAAAAAGATTCCAAATAAAGTTTCTCTTGATCAATTCTTTTTTGTGTTTTTTGTTTGTTTGAGACAGGGTTCTCTGTGTATCCTTGGCTGTCCTAGAACTCAGAGGTCCACTTGCTTTTGCCTTCCTGCCTCCCCAGTGCTGGAATTAAAGGTGTGCACCACCTGCCTTTAATCCCAGAACTCAGGAGACTGAGGCAGGTGGATGTCTGTGAGTTTGAGGTCATGCTGGTCTACAGATCGAGTTCCAGGAGAGCCAAAGCTATTACACAGAGAAACCCTGTGCACAACTATCTCCTGGCCTTGAACCACACTTTAAACCAGTGACCTCATGCATTTTACAGATTAGGAAATTGAGGCCTGTCTGAGGTCCTGCAGCTAATTAAGTGGGAGAGCACGTCTCTGTTCTCAGCATCCCACTCTTGCCTTGACATGTCCATGTACATGCCAGAATGAAATTTACTCACTCTGTGGAAACAAAGGAATGTAGTGTATACTTTTAGAGTAAATTGTCCTAAAAACTACCTAGCCCAGCTTTTGCCATTAGTAGATGGGTAAAATTGCAAATTAACTAGAATATAATTATGTAGTTATTTTAAAATATGTTCTTGGGGGCTGGAGGTGTAGCTGAGGGGAAGAACACTTGCCTGCCATGCACAGAGCCCTGGGTTTGAGCCCCGGCATGGGGCAAGGCGGAGAGAGAAATAAATACGTACTTACCATCTCACAATTTTGTATTACAATAAATAGCAAAATTGTGTTAGATTTTCAAATTTTGTTTTTCATTATCTTCTGTTAATTATGTACACATGCAGTTTACCCTTTTATTTCAAAGGAAGATTGGTACTGTTACCTTAGAAATCATAGTACTTGTAGTTAAAGCTTTATTAGAAGGCTTGGCCTAATGGTTTTTAAATCCTGAGGTCTGTGTAGCACAGTGGGAAAGCTATTGCCAGTGTGTTCAGGACCCTTAGCAGGGCATGAGGATAAAGAGGTAGGGTTGAGGGGTGTCTTAATACTGAGCCCAAATCTTTGTTTTTATTATTGTATATTTTATTTTTATATAAAAAAACAGTCATGTTAGTCCTAGACTTAGGAGTTTTAGAAACTGCTTATATTGCCAGAAACAAAAAAGTTTATTCTATTTGGATTTCTCTTGTAGTCTTTTTGAAACAGTTCTGTTGATTTCAGTTTCTTGCTCTGATTCTTGCTGCACTATTGCATGTGCCTATGCAAGGTGTTTTAATTTCCTAAAGAGTCCATTTCATTCATTATGGCAGATTACTGACCCTGTGGGTAATACCATTTGATGTCCTGTTAATTATTTTAAGTATTATATTTGGTTTCCTTTTGCCTTCACACTCAGGATGGAAGCTGACAATTTTTTTCATTATTTGTCTTTTAGGAGGTGGTAAAAGTTTGTGTTACCAGCTGCCTGCCTGTGTTTCTCCTGGGGTCACTATTGTCATTTCTCCCTTGAGATCACTAATAGTAGATCAAGTTCAAAAGCTGACTTCCTTTGATGTAAGTTATTACTTAAACTATTAGTAAAAATGTGCCTTAGATACACATTTCAGTATGCTAGGAAATCTTATTAACTATTATTTGAATTATAAGAATAATTCCCAAATTGTTCTGAGTATATAGCTCCATGACAGAGTGCTTGCCTAACATGCTGCAAAAAAATGAAAAATAAATAAGACTAAATAGGTAAAGCATGTATTTAAATTAAGCTCTAGAGTTAATAAGCACATGTGTTAAGACACTGTGATTCAAACAACCATCTGTAATTCGTTCTGATTTTATTCTTCTACAAGAATGGTCTTTCAGTGAGTGCTCTTAACCTGTATTTTGCTGATGTAATTTTTTTTTACAAATATAAAGGTGTTTCTTTTTTTGGCTCGTGTGAGATCATCATAGTTCTCTTTCTCTGTGCACACATGTGTGCCTGTACACCTGTCTTTTTCTTCACTGCTGAATTGAAGGAATATGACTACATTCTACTAAGGTTTTCACATTGGAAAGAATTGATTACACTGTAATGAATCACATCATCTCAGTGTGACAGATGGTTTGATTTTCTTCCAAAGAATGCCAGTGCAGTGATGGTAACCATTGCCCAGCTGTCCACAATGTTACAGCCATCACCCATCATCACTACACATGAAACCTTGAAGATACATCAAGAACTTCAGAGTAGCTACACCAGCCATGGAAGTGCACACCTTTAATTTCAACCCTTGGGAGGCAGAAATAGGACCCTCTGCATCAGTTAGAAGCAAGCCTGACCTTTTAGCAAGTATCAGACTAGCCAGGGTTATATTGAGACTCTCCTACACAGAGACACATACATATACCATGGTCTTGTTTACAGATAGAAGAGAGAAAGCAATATAGAAAATGAAAGGAACAGTGAAGAGGTTTTGCAGTTTTTCTTGACACAAACACCTTGCCATACACAGGCTACCTTCAGATTTGTTGCTCGAAGGCTGGCCTCAAACTCCTTATCCTCCTTTCTAAGTCTCCTGAGTGCTAGGATTCCTTGTGTGTGCCACCACACCTAGGTGGAAAGGCTATTTTGAGTTGTACTTAATATGAATTTTTAAAAATATGTGTACTAGCTAAATATGGCGCATACCTATAATCAGCACTTCGAAAGCTGATGATGAAGAATCACAAGTTTGAGTCTCAGTGAGATCCTGACTTACCAAACAAAACTTTTTTTTTTTTGGTTTTTCGAGACAGGGTTTCCCTGTGGCTTTGGAGGCTGTCCTGGAACTAGCTCTTGTAGACCAGGCTGGTCTCAAACTCACAGAGATCCGCCTGCCTCTGCCTCCCAAGTTCTGGGATTAAAGGCGTGTGCCACCAACGCCCGGCACCAAACAAAACTTAAAATAAAAATGTGTGCATTGATTGTCATTATAGTGAGATTTGTTTCTTTTGGCAGCTGTGATATGTGACTTATAAAATATTTATAAAACCTAAAAACATAATCATGTCTGATTAATATATAAATAAAATGAAATTTAAATGATTACTTTTAACGTAGATTCCTGCTACATATCTGACGGGGGATAAGACTGACTCAGAAGCTGCAAATATTTACCTCCAATTATCAAAAAAAGACCCAATTATCAAGCTTTTGTATGTTACTCCAGAAAAGGTTTGTATTAACCTCGTTGTTTGCAGTGTAATATTACACAATAAAATACATCTGTGTTAAGACCTTGATCGTAACTTCTTATATACATTACAAGAACTAGCCTTTGCCCCAGATCACAAATGGTAAAAATTTTCCCCATCTCCTTTACAATTCATTCTTTCTCCAGTTTGTTCTGAAACATTTGAGAGTGCGTTGCAGACCTACCGTTTTAACCCTAATTTACCTCATTATGCATTTCCTGACCATATAGCATTCCCTTGGTGACCACAGTGTAATTTACCCACCAGGAAATGTACAGTGACACATACTGTTACTTAACGTATAAACCTTCTGGTAATGACCTTTGTAAAAAAGAAAACCCCAGTGTAATCTCCTTTTATCGAAATAGTTTCATGATTTTGACATTTTAGAAAGGTAAGGGCCAGTTTTGAAGACTGCACTCCGATTTGAATGTCTTGTTTCCTGCTGATTTAATTCATGTTACTCAATTGGCAGGGATGTTGCAGATGTGGTGGCTTGTTCCCATAAATGCTATCAGAAGACACTTGGTATTGACTCATCCCATTACCAGTGGTGCTTGTTAACCAATCGCTTGATTAGAATAGTACTGCCGGCTGCTTCTCCTTTGTGCTTTTTCATTCCCCTTTCATCTTTGTAATCAGTAGATGCCCTGATGTAGGAGATCCTGAGACTATAGAAATACCCAGATAGACACCAGAGCTTCCTCACAAGTTTTAGTATCCATTGATGATTCTTTCCTAGTTACTACTGTAATGAATGCCAAGTTTTGATTTTTACTAATATAGTCCACCCTGTGGATTCTTAATTTATTTAGTGAGTTTCAGGCAATTATTACTATGTATTTTGATTTTCCAAATCCTTAGATTTGACCATTGAGGAAGCTTCATCAACTTGGCTTCTGTGTCCTTTACATATGTCCCTGTCAAGACATGATTGGGATGTCATTGCTCCTGGACAAAGCTAGATTGCAAACATATAACTACCTATATGTGTAATACATACAGTTTTCCCCCAAATATCATTCACACACCAAACATACCTCTAAAATCCTGTTCCCAGATTGGCAGGGTTGTTCAGTGGGTAAGGGTGCTTGCCATATAACCTTGTGACCTGAGTTTGATCCTGGGCACTCACATGATAGAACCAAACACATTAAGTCATCTGACCTCCACACACTTGTACCACCCTACACAAAATTAATGAATAAATGTAAAAAATGTACAATAAATTAAGTGCTATTACCAAAATGAATTGTTTACCTTCAGATATGCTGAGGCAGAAAATTTTTTTGAGCCATTAACCTGCTAAGTAAAACTTGAATGCGAGTGAAATACTAAAATTCTGTCCTCTTTTTGGGTATGGGTTTGATGTGATAGGGGGTAATTTTAATGGTAGTGGTGATCATTCGGGTGGTGTGTTTATAACTCTCCTGTCTGTGATTTAGGTCTGTGCAAGTAACAGGCTGATTTCCACTCTGGAGAATCTATATGATCGGAAGCTCTTGGCACGCTTTGTCATTGATGAAGCACATTGTGTGAGTCAGGTAAGTCAGTCTCAGTAGGTATCAATATTCATTCCACCAGTGGTACTCAGAACCAGCCGCAGCGCTGAAGCTCAGTACACGCTGCGTTAATATTCTGCTGCTTCCCGTGTTGGCTTTCATAGAAGAGAGATACAAATAATCTGTTTTTGTGTTTGTTTTTCGAGACAGGGTTTCTCTGTGTAGCTTTGGAGACTGTCCTGGAACTCACTCTATAGCCCAGGCTGGCCTCAAACTCACAAGAGATCCTTCTGCCTCCCGAGGACTGGGATTAAAGACGTGTGCCACCACCTCCCGCTTGAGATACAAATAATCTGAAAGCAGTATTTTTTTCCCAATTAGTGGGGTCATGATTTTCGTCAAGATTACAAAAGGATGAATATGCTTCGCCAGAAGTTTCCTTCGGTTCCAGTGATGGCTCTCACGGCAACAGCGAATCCCAGGGTACAGAAGGATATCCTCACACAGCTGAAGATCCTCAGACCTCAGGTGTAAGTAGTTAGTGTGTGGTTTTTGATTCTCAGGTTCTTTCTGTACATTAGGATCACCTGTTGGACTTTAACATTTCAGGTATCCAGATTATAACTAGGGCAGCTAAATTAGAATTTTTTGAATCGGGAATATATTTTTTTTAATCCTCAAGTGATTCCAGGTACAGTAAAATTTGGGAACAAAATCTGGGATTTTTCTTTACTTGACAAAATTAAAAACTCCAGAGCAGCGGAGATGGCATAGCACATAAAGAAAGACGCCTGCAGCCAGACCTGACTGGGTTCAACTCCTGGCATCTTTGTGATGAAATGAGAACACTGGCACCTTCCTGCCTTGTTGCCTTTTAACCTCCTCAAGTAAGCCCTAATAGACAAGTAAATAAATATAAACAAAAATAAAATTATCCCATCTTATACTGTGGAACTGGAATAAATCAAATTTGGTACTGGGTACCCTGGTGTAATCTTCTTAAAAGATTAGCTTTTACATATCTTATTTTGGCTTCCACACTCCCACAGTGTACTTCATGAAATGAACATAAAAGTCTCAGTTATATTTATATACACGATTTGAGAAGAGTCTAGAGCCCTCTTAGAAGGGCCTTTCACTTGCACTCCATTGTTGTTTTAGCTTCAGCACAGTGGCTGTGCCTTAATCTGCCATTTCAGCCAGCAATTTCGACTGCAGTTACCTGCCTGCTCATCTGGCAGCAGCCTGAGCACAGCCTGGTGGGAAGGCACTGGCACTACCACTGCCTAAAGGTAGTTTTAACTAAATCTCTATCGTTCTATTTATAGGACTTGAGATTCAAAGGCTGGGGTGAAAACCTGCTAGCTAACCTTCTCCTTGCTGGCATCTCTGAAAGAGACCATCCTTCTACTCCAACAAACAAAAAAAGTTGTGCCACTCAAGATCCCTCCCTACTCCTTCTGTTGCTTCTATCTCTTCCAGATGCCCTCTGATGCTCTGGGTTAATTTTACTTAATTAACACAAATGCAAACTTGAGGTTCACAGTATGATTGAATATCCCCCATCACTTCATCTCAGCAGCATGCTTCTTCCTACCACCAAATCCATAACTAATTGGTAATGAAAGCCATTTGAAAATATTCTGCTGTATATATTTAGGTTATACTAGGCTGTTGTCCCTCTGCCTGAGTTTGCTGAGACAGATGCATTCTTTATTATGTTCATTTGCTCAGCAAATACTTTAATATAGGTTTGTGTACTTATGTTCTGAGGTTGAGGTAGAATGCCTGAAGGAATAATGGCTGAACAGAATATTGGGGTGGATTTTTTTAAATGATTTGTTTTTATTTTATGTGTATGAGTGTTTGCATGTCTGTCTGTACCCATAGAAACTAGAGGACATTAGATCCCTGGGACTTGAATTACAGATGATTGTAAGCTACCATGTCGGTGCTGGGAACTGAACCTGGATACTCTGGAAGAGCAGCAAGGTTCTTACTTAAATGCTGAGCCATCTCTCCAGCCCCCACCCCACCCACTCCCAAAGTGTATTTTAAAAGCACAGCTTTTGTTCACTTAAAAATAACAAACTGATATGGTGGCACATGCATGTAGACCCAGCATGCCTACAGGAGGTGGAAATGAGAGCATGGCTTAAGGTTATGAGTTCGCACATGCATGTAGACCCAGCATGCCTACAGGAGGTGGAAATGAGAGCATCCTTAAGCTTAAGGATGGCCTAGGCACCATCATAAGATCTAGCCTCCAAAAAGAAAGAAAAGAGAAACTGGCTGTGTAAATGTTGTAAACCTACCTCATCACAATAGTGCATGCCTTTAGTCCCAGCACTTGATAGACCAGAAGCAGGCCAGCCTGATCTACATAGTAAGTTCTAGGCCAGCCAGGGTTACATATTGAGACCTTGCCCCACCCCATACTATAAGCATAAAAATAATAAAGGTCATACATGGTACACATGCTTGCAGACAAAGCAAACACTCATACACGTAAAATGAATAAATCTAAATAAAAATAACAAAGTATCTCTCAGAGAGTTATGCCCTAACTTCAAATTCTATATGAAGCCTTTGGGGTCATGAGCTAACAGAGTTGCATAGCCTTTGCAGATCAGATTGGCAGACCTAAAGCAAGTAGTTCATGCAGCACTTTGGGTTTCTTCCAGCCTTTAAGTTGTTTAGTACCAGCATGAAAATACTTAGTTGCTAATAGCTCTTTTACATACCATTAATGATCATACTTGAGTGCAAGAACGTTAGAGTTCTCATAATTTTGTGTGTATAATCACAAAATGTGGAATGCAATGTTTTAATCTAATGCTACTTGCAATGAGGAATATTTATGTAAATTTGGGGTAAGAGATGTATCTTGCTTCCTGCCATATTAGATACATGCTTTAACACTATATTTAAAATGTTATACTTTAGGTTTTAATAAATACTGAATGCTATAAATTTGTTTCTACAAATGCTATACTGCCTAAAAAAATGTTTTATTTCTGCCCCCCTTCCCCACTCACACCCCACCCCCTCTTTGAGGTTTTTGTTGAAATGTACAGAGTTTTGATACGAAGCCCTAACTGGCTTGGAATTATAATATAGGTCATGCTGTCTCCTCTTCCCACATTCTGTGATTTCAGGTGTGCACCACCATGCTGGGGATGGAGATATATATCATATGAGAGAGGGGGGGGAGAGAGAGAGAGAGGGAGAGAGAGAGAGAGAGAGAGAGAGAGAGAGAGAGAGAGAGAGCATGCGTGTGTGCGCGCATACATGCATGCCTCTGGAGACCAGAGGTCAACGTTGGGTATTTTTCCTTAGGAGACATCCACCTTGTTTTTTGGAGACAGTATTTCCTTGACCTGGAGTTCACCATGTTGGCTAGACTGACTGGCCAGAAAGGTCCAGGGATCCACCTGTCTCTGCTTTCCCAATGCTGGTATTACAAGTAGTAAGCAAATGCTGTACCACTGAGCTGTCAGTTAAATTAATTGGCAAAAGACCACAGTCAGAAGAAATCATGTAAATTACCTTGCATTTGGATGACTTTCTGGAAATATGTTTTATGTTTGAATGAACAGTGCATATATTTATCTAGAGGTAGACACCTTGAGTCCCCTTTCCTGGAACTGTGGGAAAGCAATGTGCCTGAGAAAGCAAAATTATACATACCCGGATGCTAGCACATGGTTTTTTGTGCTTATCTGATACTCGGTAAGAATGAATAAGTGAAACCATTGGAAGCGTTTTTTAAATGTGGGTAAAATCAACTCTGTTGATCCCTTAATATATTTGGTATTTCTGCTTTACAAACTTATAAGTCCCATAGTAGAAGCAGATTTTAAGAAGCGCTTTCTGATACACTGTCTCCTGATCTTTTTCTGCCAGTAGGTCCTGTTTGTATTAGTTTGCCAACTGCTGCTGTACCATGGTGTAAGTGAAATCAGGTGCTCCCAGGTTTAGAGTGGTGGCCCCAGGCACCTCTCTTCCTATAGTCCTGGGATGATATTCTTCCTCTTGAGTTTGTGAAGTCCAAGAATGGTAGTTACTAAACACAAAATCTCATGCTGGTCTCCGTAGGACCCCAGCAGGTGAACTAGGGGAGAATAGAGAATCAGACCCAGATGTAACTGTGCACAGCTTCAGTGATAACTGACACAGCTTGCCCCACAGTGTGCTAGCTGCTGCTCGTACTATTGTTTTGTTTTGCTTTTTTGAGACAGGGTTTCTCTGTGGCTTTGGAGGCTGTCCTGGAACTAGCTCTTGTAGACCAGGCTGGTCTCCAACTCACAGAGATCTGCCTGCCTCTGCCTCTGCCTCATGAGTGCTGGAATTAAAGGCGTGTGCCACCACCACCTGGCCTGCTCTTACTATTGTATATGACCTTTTATGTATTCACTATCACAAAAGTCTTGCATGATATATATCTTCTATTCCTTCATTCTCTAGATATGTCACAGTCAAGTGAAAGACTTGAGTCACAGCACACATAATAGAAAATACCTGAAAACACAGCACTTGGTTTGTTTTATTTGTGTTTTTGAGACACAGTCTCACTATGTAGCCCTGGCTAGCCTGGAACTCACTATGTAGACCTGTTGTAGTACATAAAATGATGTTGGGGGTGTCGGGGTGGAGAAATGGCTCAGTGTTAAGAGCTCTTCCAAAGGACCTGGGTTTGATTCCCAGCACTGACATGGTGGCTGTCAACCATCTGTAACTCTAGTTCCAAGGGATCTAACACTTTCTTCTGGCCTTAGAGGACACTGCATGCATAGGACGCACAAACATACATGCAGGTAAAACATTCATTCACATAAAACAAAAATAAATTTTAAAAGATTGACAAGATGGGTCAGTGGGTAAACGCACTTACTTACCATCAGCCCTGACAACCTGAATTCAATACCCAAGACACAGTGGTGGACAATACTCAAGTTGTCCTCTGACCTTGTGAATATCACCACGTGAGTACTGGGAATGGAACTTATATCTGCATGCCCTCCATAGCACATGCATACACATGTATATGCACACATACACAATAAATAAAATAAATGTAATTTAAACTTGTTTTCATGTAGAGGCTGGTCCTCTCCTTCTACCATATGGGTCCTGGGGATTGAACTCTTGTTATCAGGCTTATGAGCAAGTGCCTTTACCCACTAAACTATCTCTCCAGCCCTTTAAATTTATTTTTAAAAAGATAAAAACAGTCACACAGAAATTAAGTAACTTGCGAAGTTCATAACCCTAGCAAATACAGGAGTGAGGACTACAATCCCAGAAGTCTGCCTGCAGAACCCTTTAAATAGTATTCTGAAATGCAAAAAGGAAGTCATGACTAAAGATGTAATTGTAGACTAGGGTAATCAGGAAGTCAGCATTATAACCTGGTGTGGCAGCTAACAGTGGAGAGAGCTCAGACGGTTTTAAAAGGATGCAGGACTCTTAGGAGGGTGGCTTGCTAAAATGTTTCCATGGCTGTGCTGATGTCTGCCTTTCATACCATAAAACTCACCTATTTAATGTACAGGATTCAGTGCAATGTTTTCTGGTTTTTTTCATGGAGTTACACAGTCATCACCACTATCTACTTTTAGTATATTTTATTTCCCTTAAGAGCTTTGTTCTCCTTAACAACTAATCTCTTTTCCTCTCTGCCCCAGGCAACCATTCATTGACTTTCCAACTTCACAGTTTTTTGCTATTCAGGACATTTTACATACAGGTTAATTATCCCCAGAGCTTGGGACCAGAAGTATTTTAAATTTGAAATTTTTCTAGATTTGGAATATTTGCATATACGTAGAGAGGTATTTTAGGGATGTGACTTAGGCTAATTAAAGATGAGATTCATTGTTTCATATATACTTTATACACATAGTTGGAAGGTATTTTTAATTTTTTTTACTAAGGTTATTTAAAACATTTTACATTTATTGTATGTGTGTGTGGAAGTCAGGGGACAGCTTGTAGAGCGTGGTTCCCTCCTTCCATGTAGGTTCTCTGGAGTTGAACTCAGGTTGTCAGGCTTAGTGGCAGGCTCCTCTGACTACAGAGGCATCTTACTAGCTTTTGCTTATTCATTTTGAAACAGTGTCTTACTGTGTAGCCCAGGTTGGTTTAAAACTCACTGGGTAGCTTAGCCTCACCTCAAATTTCTATCCTACCTTGGCATGAGGAGTTCAGGTATGCACCATCCACCCAGCTAAGAAGATTATTTATTTTCATCTTTTCTCATTTTATTTCATCTTTTGAGATGGGAATCTCATGCTTGGCAGACTATCCTCAAACTCTGTGTAACAGATAACAACCACGAACAAGTGGTCTTTTGTAAATAGCAACAGTTTTCTTTGTATTTCTTTTTAGATTTATTTAATGTGTATGTATGTGTACTATGTACATGCAGTACCGATGGAAGCCAGAAGAGGGCGTCGAAACCCTAAGAACTGGAGTTATAGATGGTTATGAGCCACCATGTGAGGACTTGGAATGGAACTTAGATCCTCTACAAGAACAAGTACTGTTAACTAATGACCCACCTCTCCAGCCCCCCAAATAAATAGTGTCACCATTTTATGTTCACTATGTGAAATTCACAAAACACATTGTAAAAGTGTAATTTGGAGGGCTGGAGAGATGGCTCAGTGGTTAAGAGCATTGCCAGCTCTTCCAAAGGTCCTGAGTTCAATTCCCAGCAACCACATGGTGGCTCACAACCATCTGTAGTGAAATCTGGTGCCCTCTTCTGGCCTGCAGACATACATGTAGGCAGAACACTGTATACATAATAAATAAATCTTTAAACAAACAAACAACAAACTTTTTTTTTAAGATTTTATTTATTATGTATACAACATTCTGCTTCCATGTATATCTGTAGGGAATTGAACTCAGGCCCTCTGGAAGAGCAGCTGGTGCTCTTAACCTCTGAGCCATCTCTCCAGCCCCAAACTTTTTTTAAAAAAGTGTAATTTGGAGCTGGAGAGATGGCTCAGTGATTAAAAGTGATTGCTGCTTTTCCAGAGAACCTGAGTTCAGTTCTCAATACCTACTTTGGGCAACTCATAACTGCGTATAGCTAGCTACAGGAGATCTCATGCTACCTTCTGGCCTTGGAGTGCACCCACACACACAGCACTGTCACATTTATATACGAGTAAATAATGTAAACGAATAAAAATCGTTTTTAATTCTCCTATACTAAAATTTTCATCCAATTGAATTATTAAAATTACTAGTTAGGGGCCAGAGAAACTACTCAGTGGATAAAGGCACTGGCTACCAAGCCTGGTGACCTGAACCCACATGTTCAGGAGGGAGAGAACTGACTCCCACAGTGTGCATGCACAGTACACAACACACACACACACACACACACACAAAATGAAACCATTAGTCGTCATCATTGGAGTATTTTCATACATGTCTATGTTACTTTCTTTAAGTGCATACTTCATTTAGTATGCTAAACAGTCTTGCCATGTTGCCAGGGTTAGTGTCAAACACATGGCTCAAGCTGTCTTCTGACCTCAGCTTCTCAAGGAACTGATACTTCAGAAAACACACTACCACATCCAACTTAAATATGTTTCAAACCCTAATTTTAGGCATAAGCTTTTATTGAGATTGTATCTGTTGTTGAGTTAAGACTTTGTTTTACAGTTCCCATATCTACAGATGAGTTGACTCAATCTGCTCATTTTTACTGTTGTGGATGTAAGCCCTGAGAAATGTTGCTGACATAAAGGTGTAAACGGGATCAAAAAGCATTTATTACAGCATTAACACTCAATTATTCAAATTCCTTCTGAAGCATATGGCAAAATTACATCATGATCTGTCATCAAAAATTATTTTTAATGATCTGTCAACTGGTAGTTAAGTACTCTAAATTTTGTGGAACATAAAAATTGGAAAGTTTTTGGCTAACAAGCAATGTTACCAATGTCTTTTTTCTGAACTGTATACTTTTAAAAACTTTACTAGGTTTTATCTAATATATGTGAGGTATTCTTTTCACTTTTTCAAGAGGAACCTCTACCCTATACCTGATGTATTTGAAATATCTTGAAAATATTTTCTGTTCGCCTTTAAAAAAAAAAAAAAGGCAGGTTCTTGCTATATAGCCCTAGCTATCTTGGAACCCACTACAGACCTGGCTAACCTTGAACTTAGAGAGATCCATCTATCTCTCCCTCCTGAGCTCTTGGCTCCTGAGTAA